TGGGATTAAAGGATGCAAATTTTTCAACAAAGAAGTGTAAGGAAATAGGGAAAGTGAAGGGAAGAGAAAGAAATGGAAGAGGACAGAAAAGGAAAGGCTGATTGAGAAAAACTGAGCACTCTGAAAATGCCAACACCTTATCCAAGATATAAGCATTTAAATCAGTATATCTATGCTGCCCTTCTATCTCAGTGAGGCCTCTGGGATTGCAGTTGTGGCTGTGGCTGGAATTTGGCACTAGAGTTTTGACCTTTAGCTTTAGTGAAGTGGTTCAGACAATGGCTGCTTGATAAGTGGGTCAAACTAAACACAGCACAGAAGAGATACTGGAAGGGTAACAGGAGGCTTTTGCCTGCAGAAGTTGTCTTTTGCACCTTGTTCACCTCAATATGTTAAGAGACAATGTATCACAGGAAAATGTTTTGATAGTATAGGAGAGAAGAAAGGCCATTTTATAAGAAAATGTCTGGAAATGATTATTTTAGACAAGAATAAAATGACAAAAGTCTGTACTGAGGCTAGTACAATTGTGCTCAATCAGGCCAATGTAGGAATTATGATGGTTCTTCTAGGTGTGGAGCCTGTGGAGAATTTCAACTTTTAAAGAGTGTTTTTAGAGTACTATCTAATGATTTATAAATGTTTTTTTAAAAATAATATTTCAGGAAAAAAAGACTTGAAGATACTGTATTGGCTTCAGTGGGAACAGAATATAAATAAATCTCAACTGCTTGTAAAGATTGCAACTTCCTCCTAAGAATTTGTTTTGATTTGTAAATGGGGGGGAAGGGGGAGAAACATACATCACTTGAGCGAAATTCTGTATTAGAAACTAAACAATGTAATGAACTTCAGTGCTAGTTTGTAAATATTTCCTGTTTGTAAATAATCCTGCTGGCAAAATTGGACTATTGTATACAAAGAATAAAAATTTAACTGCAGATCCACCTGCAACTGAAAGAAACATTCAAGACAATTATCCTTGAGTAAGATTTGTTTCTTAACACTTATTTGATGTGCAGGAAACTAGAGCAATCTCTCATTATGACTTGTTGTTTTCTTGCTGCAAAGTTAACCTGCAGAAACAGGAGAAGTTTCACTTCCCCCAGCTTACTCATGCAGTCCCTGTAGCAAACAAACTTTTATTAGGCATTCTTGTGAGCCTACATTACAGCTGTTCATTTCTTTGCACTACCAAAAAAAAGTAGAGGGAAGAAAGAGCTGTGCTTCAATAGACTCTCTTCTTTAGGCAAAAAAAAGGAAGAAAAAAAAGGGCACTTGCTGTTTATCATTAAGAACTGAAAAAAGACATAGGTTACTGTTACAGCTGTAGATTTCATGTTAAAGTCAGAAAGCTGTTGCAAGAAAAAAATGACAGTTGCTGCATGGCTAAAATGTTACACTAGGCATTTAAAACATTTAATTACAATCACAGCTTTTGCATAAGACTCATTGACCGCTGAGAATGTCATATCTTGTAGCAAATGAAAACTTGCAAATCTCTATTAGTTTGGTAATTGCTATTCTTTCCATTGTCAAGATAGCTAAATTGAGATGCAGTGAGTATTGAGAACTGTCACTTGCCACAGGGTATGTATGGCAGAAGAAGCCTCACACTTTACAGTCAAAATAACAAACTACAGAGTTACACTTCTAAGGAAATACTGTAGATCCATCTGACTTCCACTGACAAACATACTTTCTCTGACATATGCACAATCAATTAATGAAAATGAATACTTCAGATAATGGTGAAAATACAGAGCGGAACATTTTACTCTCTGGGATGATCTTGTGCACAAACATATATACTTTAAATATATTGTTTCCTTCTGTGGGCACAGTGCCAACAAATATCCTAACCGTATCCATCATGTCTTGGAATGCCTGTAATTTACATTTGGTCCAGTTTTGTACCAGCACTACACATGGGTATCAAAATGGGCTTAGGTACACAAAGGACTCAAGGTCCTTAACTCCACCGATTTCTTGGCTTTCTCCTCACACTGACCCATGCGTTTCAATAAGACACCCTCAAGGAGTAATCTGTTGTCACACATCTTGGCAGAACCAGAGCCAAAGTGAGCAAGGAGAGAGGATTGTCTTAGATCCAAAAATCTGTAAGCATCTCATCTGTTTTTATCACAAATTTATTATAAAGCTGATAGAGGTAACTGTTATTGTCAGATCTGACTGCTTAGCCATTATTTCAACCTTTTGCACCTATTTTAGTGTCTGTCTTGTAATTTATTGGGACATTTCTTTCTCTTTCTTCTAAAGTGTCTGGCTGTGTGCTTACTGCCAGGAACACTTTGCTGTGTGCCCTAGTGATCTGTTCCAAGGTTGGCCGCAGCCGCCCTGTACAGCTTGACAGAAGGGTACAGGGTGGCTGGAAATGGCACAGCTTGGTGACATCGCCATGGAGCGTGGCCAGAGGTGTGCACATCATGGTATACAGCACCTATAGGTAAAGGGGCCTAGTGCCCACTAAAAACTCCTGTCCTCTCCTTTTTGGAAACCCACGCATAGTCTGATCTAGGCTGATAGTCCTGGGGTTTTGCTACAGTTCAAACTATGAGAATACAGCTCTGGGTGAAGCAGTAGTCAGTGTTCTCCCTGACTCTTTAGCCTCTTTAGAAATACCCAAATATGTTACTTAATAGCTTTTTATATAAAGCTTCAAGCACTGCTTTGTTGACCTCTGCGGATATGAAGGGTAAATTATTGGTATAATGTAATTTTAAATCTGTGCTAATATAGGCCAAAAACTTTCTCTCCTCTCTCCCTCTATAGTAAAATAGCATTTCTGCATCAATGTTTCCCTTTCACAAATGTGCCATTTTCTTAATGCCTTGCCAAAATATTGCTTTTTTCTTCCTCCTTTTATGCATATAAGTGGAAGTTGCTGTGTGGAATGAATAACAACTGTGTCTGGAATATATCTGCAGCTTTTATATATATCGTATTTCTGTCTAGGCCCTGATTCTGCAGACCTTTATGCTTAACTTCACACAGCATGAATCTGTGAGTTTCATTCTCACTTTAAAATGTATAAAAAAATGAAATTATCACTTGAGTAACTCATTGCTTTCTTGAATGTATTTGTTACCAAGCTTCATAGAAATACTTAAACAACATTTAAACAACAAGCTATTTAAACAACCTGTTAACTTGCTGGATTCTAATTTCCTTACACTCACATGAAGTAGAACTTTAAAAAATTATACACCCATAAAAATGTGTTTGTAATTTAATCTTTCTGACACACTTTACATGAATGATAATTTAAATGAGCCACACTTCCAAGACAACTTTCAGATCTGAGAGATATCCAAAGTGAGTGAAATCAATACTTCAGATTCAGTAATGGGCTCATCGCTCATGATGGAATGAGCGCTGTTGGCAGGAAACTATGCTTAATATGAATAAACAAGTCACACCTAGATTTGTATTCAGCAATTTCTTGCACAGATGAAGAGAGGGAAATAGAAAGGTGTGATGGCTGAGATAGATGCTGGTTTTAAGACCAGTCAAATATAATCTGCAACAGCTACACTTCTGAATAAGATTACCACCAGTACTCCACAGGACTGAGAGTTCCTCCTGTTTGATCAAATGGCTATAACAAATCTTTATCTTATAACACTGTTTCCATACTCGTAAAGTTCCATTAAAGGTGAAGATGATTCTTTCTCTCTATTAACAAAACTAAGTTTCTCCCAGGTTCTCAAGCTAGTTCAGGTAACAGGGTACTACAATTTCTTTTCCTTATCTAATAATAATTTTAAAATCATTAGTTCTTCTCACATTCACTGATTATAATAGAGTAGGATGTAGCAAGTGTGAAATTTTATACTAAATTAAGGAAGACAATCATGTTTAATATTTTAAATTTTTACTACAGAAAGCTATAAAGCAGCTGATAATTCCAGTCTTCTAATTTACCATGTTTAAACATTTTTGCACTGCTTCAAACTAAGAAGTACACACAGATCATGGTCTCTCCTGTGATTGAACTTGAATACTTGAGTACTGTAAGACCTTGTACAATGTGTGAAGAGAAGGCTGCATAATCAGTTGCCAAGCACAAGTAACAAACATTCTCTTACATGGTTATTACCTCCATACAGGGGGAGATAAAAGTAACTTTCCCAGGTACCACAGAATCACAGAATGGTTTGAGTTGAAAGGAACCTTTAGAGATCTCCTAGTTTCAACCCTAACGTGATGATAAACATGAGCACATTATTAGCATAATATAGAACATTGCATCAGTGTAGACAGTGGACATGAACTCGTACATTTATACCCAACAGAAAATGAATTCTTCATGTTTATACCTCTCTTAGAGAACAATATTCATTGCCATCATCTTTCTATGCATCTCAGATGTAACACACAGAAGACATTATATATATATATATAGAGAGAGAGAGCATAACTAGTTAGGCATATAGTTATATTTACTATCTCTATGTATTTTAGATGTTATTTCTGTATGTACAAAATAACAGTTTTATAAAAATAGCTATCTATGAAGTAATAAATTGGTACGTATCCCTTGTGTTTCTTTTTCCTATTATTAAATATCTCTCTCTGTTCAGATTCTTTCCACCACTCTTCTCTTTTCCCTGTCATGTTCCCCTAATTTTCCTTTAGTCTGACATGTCCTTCAAAATTTTGGGGTTTGTTTTTGTTCCTATCTTCTACTGTAGCAGGCCTGGAGAATTGTGTCTGCCTGTCCTTATCTTCTGCAGCTGGGGGTTATGGCTATAATACTTCCAAGTAATTCTTCCCTTTTTCTCCAAACCTGCACCACAATGGCCTGACACGTCTCCACCTGTCTTTCAAACTTTTACTGGCTTGGTTGGGAAGCCCATGGACCATGACTTCTGTTCCTGGCCTAGATATTTATTTTTCCTGAGCTAATGATCTGCGTTAAAAGTCAAATAGGTTACTGTCATTTTATGGTTCTTTATGAAGAAGGAAAGAGTACTTACAGTTTTACTCCAGGTGAGACCCGTGGTATGATGCTCTTTGATGTAAGCTTGAAGCTCAGACCATATGTTCAGATACGACTTCACCCAATCAACGTGGCGTGCATCGCTGTAAAAACAGAGACAGTATTCATATGTGTGAATGTTCTTAAAACCAGAAAGCATTGCTACTCGTGCTTAATGCAGGTAAAACCCAATGTCTGCCTTAAAGCCATGGACAAACCAGTTAGTATCCAGGCAGCCAGCCCAGTACTGAAAATACTGAGGCCTACTACACTGGAAAGCTTCTCGATCCTTTCAGAGGACAAACAAGGGCAAAGGATGCCTCTAGTAGAGAGTGTTTCCTGCTGGAAGGGTGTGTCATCATTCTGTTCAAGCTCAAAGTCAACTGAAGAAGCACTGAAGGTATATGGAGCTGCGCAGCAGCTACGCAGACTCAGTTACAGGGTGCTGAATTTTAGTAAATTAAACATGCATGAGTTCTGTAAGATATTCTAGCTTCCAAGTTCAAATGTAGCCAGGGTGTTATACTGGATCATGTTACAGTCATCAGACTAAAATATTTATACATCAAGAATTTTTAAAGTACAAGTCACAAGTTGGCTCTGGAATCATTATTTGGAAGGTTTAGTCTTCCAATGGAACAGTAAGTGAAAAGAAGAAATATGTAGGGACAGAAACTGCTTGTAAGATGGAGTCCTTAGTTATGAAGAATTATTACTGAATAGTGATGGCTATGGACTAGATGGTCACAAGGATTTGTGTGTCTACCACCTGTTTATTTCTGCTGGAGTTTGATGTTTAATACTGCTGAGGATCTGGGTCAACAGGTTTAATCCGAAGCCTACTGAAGTCAAGAGAGAGCCTTCCACTACTTTGCAAGACACTCTGATCTGATTCAGTGAAAACCAGGAAAATAATTCCTTATTAGCAGAAGAACTAACTACCTAAATAATGTACCCTGTTTATAATGTTATGTGAGACATTTTCTTCTCCAGAATAAGTCTAAAGCTATATTATAAAATTCTTCAGTTACCCCAGTAGGTAAACTAAGGCTTCAGAAAGATAGTATATATTTATACATATACAATAAATAGAAATATATACAAAAGATTTGTATATATATATATATAAAGTTTTCCACATGTCCTGGGTTTGAGTGAGTGGTGGTTTTTTGGTGGCAGGGGAGGGGGCTATGGGGGCGGCCCCCTGTGAGAAGCTTCTCGAAGCTCCCCCAGCTCCAAGTCAGCTCCACCTCTGCACCAAAACTGAGCCCATCAGCTGCGCCTCTGCGATAACGTATTTAAGAAGGGACGTGGTGAGGAGCAGTGGGACTGATGAGGAGGAGTTGGAGCAGCTGCATGAACACCAAGGTCAGTGGAGGAACGGAGGAAGAAAGGAGGGGGGAGGTGTGCCGGAGCAGAGACCCCCCTGGATCCTGTGGTGAGACGGCAGGGCGGCTCCCTCCGCCACCCATGAAGATCTACAGTGGGGCAGACACTGATTTATGGCCTGTGTTTTTTGCCTGGATGATCAAGGTGCTGTGCCTGAAGGAGGCCGGGGTACTGTGGGAAAAGGTAGCCCCGCTGCTGTAATTCAGCACTGGGAGGATTGCAGCATGTGGGGGAGTCCCACGCTGGAGCAGTGTGGGGAATGCTGTGGCCCGTGGGAGGGACTCATGTCAGAAAAAGTTTGTGGAGGACTGTCTCCTGTGAGAGGGGGACCACACTGGAGCAGGGGGAAAAGTTCCGGACACTCCCCTCATCGAAGATGGCAGAAGCAGCAGCACTGACTGCACCCCCCATTCCCTGCCCCTGCGCCGCTGGGGGAGGAGGTAGAGATATCGGGAGCAGAGCTGAGCCCGGGAAGAAGGGAGGGGTGGGGGGAAGGTGTTCTCAAGATGTGGCAATGCCTCTCAGGGTCATACTCTATTATGTGTTGTTAGTGTCTATAATAAATGTATGTTCTTTTTTTTTCCTTCCCCTAACGAGTCTGCCTTTTGCTTGTGCCCATAAAGGGGGATTTTTCCCCATCCCAGTCCTATCTTGAACCCCAAGTCTGGATCTCTGTCCCTTCTTATTGCCTGAAGAGAAGGGAGAGAGAGTGGCTGCGTGGTGGTTGGCTGCTGACCAGGCTCAAACCACGACACCTCACAAAGAGAAAAAACTCAATAGCAAATACTGTTCTTCATTGGGATGTAAATATCAAGAGCCAAATCCTGGCCTCAAAAAGTTGAAATCAACGAGATTTACACACAACTTTTTTAAGAGGACATAGGAAGGACCTGTATTTTTTCTCTGTCAGCTCATAGATCTCATTCATGGAACTTTTTCATTAATTCCTTGTGCTCTTTAAGAACAGTGCAGTTGTACAGAAAAAAATAAAATTGGGAGCTATGGAATTAGATGCTCAGTTGTATACATCTACCACCTACATGCACATTTTCAAGTGAAGAGCAAGAACAGCAACAGTCTGAGTGCACAAATGAGACAAGGACAAGTAGCAGCTAGCTAGCCACACATTGGTATGTAAATATGCATTTGCATATAAGCTTATGATGCTGCAATGCCAGAACATTAAATACAATCCTATTACTGGCAGAGTGACACCCAGCACTACTAGTGCTGCTGCCATTCTCACTGCAACATGCTGCAGGTCAAAGATGAGGAAGGAAAATATACTACTGCAAACAGATTTTATCAAATGCTTTTTAGGTTACAAAATGCTTTCTGTGATGGCATTGTGAACCCTATTTGTATGGTTAATACTCTGTTCTCTGGCTAGTAGATATTGGGTCTTGGCAACATACCTGTGCTTGTAGTCCTTTAATACCCTGTTAGTATAAAAGGTAGCAGCATCGTTCATCTCCTTGACATACGGGCCTGGTTTAGGAGACTAGGACCATCATTCCGTGGTAGCAGGAAGCAACAGAAGGAGAAAGGAAGTAAAACATTAGTTAGACACCTTCCCTGATGTACTAGGTATGTTACAAAACACCTTCTTGGGTGTAGTGGACTGAAGAACTATGCAGATGAGACTGCAGAGTTCTGCAAGATTTGGAACTATTCTGGGCCGTACCATCTAGAAGCACATTTACAGCCCTCCCAACCATCCTGTGTGTCACTCACCACCGCTATCCACCCAAGGGCAGGTATGCTCTCACTGACAGCTGAGAGGTGGTTGAACATTTTGCTTCCTCTGTTCCTTTCTCTGAAGTTCTGGATTTCCTGAATCTTCTCTGATATTGGCTTGAGAAGCATTGCCACCTCATTCTGGAGAAAAAAAAAAAAAAAAAAAAAGATGATACTGCTGTTACAATCGGTGGTCCAAAAACACCCTGTGGTTTAACACTGCCCTCCCTGTCCTTTGATTTAACAGTTGGAACGAAAGGTGAGTGTATTCTCTACATTAATGTAACAATTTAATTGCCCTCCTCTGGTTGCAGTGGCAAAATCTACAGACATTAAGTATTAGTAATGTGTTGCAGCAAAAAGTTGTTCTCAGCACTGGCAGCATTTTCACATGTTGCCCAGGTTAAGACCCACAGAGACCCCGTAGCTCATAGCAGAATGCTTGTGGTTTTCATGTGATATCCCTGGAACTTTTTGAGAGTCTTTGCACTGGCTTGAGTTTTTCAAGTTATTAACCAAGTTGTTCTTTCTATAAGAAACACAAACTGTTTGTTAGGTTAGTGGCCTCTTATCATCTGTCAAGAAGACTGAGAAAGTAATACACTGAAGGAAACATCAATTTTAGCTTTCCCTAGCGGTAAGTTTTAATTTCCTTTGGCTGCAAGTAATGTGGGAGGATTTCATGGGAAACATACTGCCTGCAAGCCATGGTTTGGGGAAATTCTCCTGTGTTAATCAGAAACTAATGGTATCCAGGGGAATGACTGTTGAGCGGAAGGAATAGTGTCTGGACTGAAGAGAAAAGCAGAATGAATGTAGAAGCTATCCAAACTCCTTCCTGCACAAAGTGAATGCTAATCACACTGACCCAGTGTCTCAGAAAAAACTAATTTAAAGCACTAACTTACTGTGAGAAATTCTTCCACTCAGAAACAGCACATTGAGGGACAAGGAGTCATGAGTTTACAAGCAAAACCACTGCTGTACCTTGCAACCCTATAAAATGTTTCTATAAAAACAGTCCAATTCTTTATTGCAAAAGTATGCCCACAGAACCCATACTATGTCCCACCATTCTGATTTTCCCTGGCATTCCTCTTGGAAATCACTCGGGATACAGCAGAACTCTGTATTTTTTCTCACCTTTTCTCACAACCACTTGTTTAATGGAATTGTTTGTTGGAGACAACTAATCCTCATATTCTTGAGGACTAATGCTGTCATGACACACACAAGATGATGTGTGCATATGTGATACTTGATCTCTGTCATCTGTAATGTATTTCTCTTCACCCTTCTGCAAGACATCAGCTTTACAGAATTTTATGTCACCTTAAAATAAGCATGTCTGCTATGGATCAACATAGGTCAAAAGACACTCCAAAAACATGACAAAAAGTGGTTCTGCATTTTTAAAATAATTTTGATCCAGCTGTGGAGTTTTAATATTTTAGTGGCAATGTAATTTTGAGAAAGGCCTATGCATCTGAAATGCATGGGGATACTTGGTCTTCTTCAACAAAGTGGGTTGGGAGAAAACAAATATTTACAGTATTACTGGGAGCTGAAAAGATTTTTTGTTGATGGCTTAATGACCAGCATAAGTGATTAAGTCTGAAAAAGCCCTGAAACCTCCATGATTTGTAGTTCTTAAAATCTGCTTTTGTTGCCATAACATGATAAAGACTTCAGGAATTCTTCTTTCTAATTTTTGCTTGTTTACAACATGCTGCAGCTGGTTGGTTCTTTCTTATTTTGCAAGGAAATCTTTCAAGTATGACAGTAGTTAACAAAACTGAAATTTAAGAAAGTGCTTGTTCTGCTTTGATATTACGCCAGTTTTCCTCCCATAAAGTCTAAAGGTCCTTAGCTTACTGTGAATCTTTATGGCCTAGTTCCAGCCAAAGAGAGTATCAGGGCTAAAAATACAGCTCCACAGATGCCTGGTGTATCAGCACTGGGAGGCAGCACGTTTCTGTGGATAGGGCACAGAAGTGGGAGTCCATAAATGGGGGTTTTCTTTACAGCTCTCCCAACAAATTATCATCAGGTTTCAGGAAAGTGGTGTTACCTTTCTGTGCTTCAACTTCCTATGTGTGAAATGATGCTAATATAGCTGGTTTATTTTGTAGAACACTTCGATATCTACAGATAGGGCGGCAAAATTAGGGCTAAACATTTTCCTGAATGGTACTATAAGACCCATGCCTCCTCCTCCTCCTAGAAAAACTCCCAACCACTTTTGTGAGGATTTTCTGTCAGTGATGCAGACAGAATTTCTGCCCCTCACCTGTCCAGTGAATCAACTGTTTATGAAAATGTAGTGGATTTATGTAATTTCACAGAAAAAGTGCCCTGCAGGAGTTTTAAAGGTGAAATACATATTGCTAAGGAAAGTAGCTGAAAGTAACCATTCTCTTGGCGCTGTAGTGACACCAGAAAGAGCCACGAAGGGCTTGAGGCTTTGCTCAGCTCTGTCTCACAGGAGATGTACAGGGAGAGCAGCACAGCCTGCCTTCCCCCCGCTGTGCACTTGGCCTGTTCTGCAACGGCTCCCGGCCACCGGCACCAAGTGCGGGTGTGCGTTCGTGCAAGCTTCTTGTGATCCAAGGTTCTGTGTAAGGGCTGGACACAAAGGAATACAGGCCTGCAAGGAATCACTTAATTGAGCACTGTCTCCCCACAGTCACGTCTAAATTTTTAGTTAGTGATTAAACAGCAGATGAATTATAGTGTATATGGCATACGGGTACAGAGAGGCTCATTAATTCTGGCAGTAATCAGTCTTGTTTGGCTCTACAATGCAGAACAAGTCATGCTGGGGGTTCTAAAAGAATAATCTCTTTATTGCAATGAATATTAAAACAGCTGGTTGTTAATAAAATGATTGTCTCTACTGTACCTCTAAGAAAAAATGAATTCAAGGAGATGAATCAGAGCTGTTGGAAAAATCTTCAGCATGCCTTTGGCATGTGCTAGATAAAGTTTCTTGTCATTTAAGACACAGCACAGTTGTTTAATAGAAATTTAAGAGTCTTTGTATAAACACGATTCCTATTATAATATCAGTTTGGCTGAAATGTTTAAAAATGCAACAGTGGCACAAGTTAGAAATATCAAAAGTAATTCCCATATGCCTTTGTCCTTTTAAAAGAATTATTAAAACCAGATGGTCTTTTTAAATATTAATACCTAAACAAGCATCCAGCTTTGATCCACATCTTATAATTCTTATTTGAAAATCAAAAGTAGTAAGACTATTGCAGTGATTAGTGAAAACACTCCAGAAAAGTTACAGCATGAAACAAGAACTGCCTTAGGCTTTGGCTTCAGAGACTTAACAGTCTCAGCCCCATCTTATAAAATGGCCTGGCATACCAGTATTCCAACAGACCGCACCAAACAGACTTTCTTCTCCTTCACATTTTTGTAATACTCGCACGAGAAATTCCCTAGACAGGTTTAACAGGACGGAGGCACAAGATTTAATTCAGGAGAAAGGCCAGACTTTTGGGTTTGTGATTTTTGTGATTTACCTGTGAATTCACATTAAATTGAGTGGCTTGCTTAAACTTTGGCTACTTGAGCCAGTGATTACTTGAAAATCTTAGGTTTAATTTGAGAAAACGGGTATTTTTTCAGACCACTGTTGTCCAGAAACCTGCCAGCATGAATCACAAAAGGCGCAAAAAACAACAGGCAAATAAAAATATAGTTTTCAAAGATCTTATGTATTTTTAAGCTAATCTTACATGGTTTTGAGGGGTGAGATTGTTTACTGAAGAATTTTTATGTTGATAGGTGGCAATGTAATCCAGACCTTACTATTACAGTGTTTAAATCAACTTGACCCATTATGAAAAAAACATGGTATGGGAACAAATACCCTTGTAAGTTTTGCTAACTGAGGGGGGTGGCAACCTTTGGCATAGGAGCAGTAAAAGCAAGCTGAGAGCATTTGGGATCAGCAGCCCCTTCCTTTTATTCAGCTGCAACGAGAACAGCACAACTACAACTGTTACTCCATGGTCTACAGTTCTGTTATTTTCTTCTGTCAGTTCAAAATCTCCATCATACTTACATTGTATTTTTCACAGGCATGTCTGAAACATGGAGTTGATTTGAATCAGCTTTCTTTGTATGTGTTGGCAAGTCGTGCAGCCTAATAGTTCTGTAGAGCAAAACAGTCCGTGCCGAGGACCTGACATTCAGAAGACTGCATGTGTTTGCAGGGGGGGGCTATTTTGGACTAGCTGTAAATCATGGTTTAGGTGCTGTCTGGAAGTGTATCTTCCATTTAACTTCATCAGAAAGATACCCATTTTGTATACCCTAAGAGTGTTCTACAGTGTGAATTGCGGCATAGTAAATTGGGCTGATTTGAAGGAAAAATATAGTTCCACTATGGACTAAAGCACTAATGTAGACATAGCCATTATCTCTGCAAACAGCCTAGTACAGTCCCATCCCACAGTTCCTCCTTTCAAGGGATGAAAGATGTCATGGACAGCATCCGCCACACTCAGTTCTAACAATTTAAAAGGTGAGCATCTGCTCTCAGCTGAGACTTGATTCTCTCTATTGTAAATGAAGAAAGAGATGTCCCTGAGGAATTCTTTCTACCTATTAATAGATGTTAGAAGATTATATATTAGAAGACATGAATAGATGTGAAGAATGCAGTCTAGAGCTGCTGCCATTTACTGGAAAGAGAGCCTAGAAAGACACCATACACAGCATGCCTACCTTAACAGTTAAAGCTGATGGGCAGAATCCCGTCCTGTGTCTATAGGAATAAGATACTGGTAGTTTCAGTGATCACCAGTGAGATGCATTTCTGTTACGAGTGGCTATGATTCTAGAACTAAAATAGATTTAGATTAACAGTAATTTCCCATATTTTGTATTTTGTAAAAGCAAATCTGTGAAGAAGACTGTAGAATTTAAGTTAGTCCTTTTTTTTCGTATATTTGTGGTTTGAGAAAGGCCTGTCTTTTATGTTATAGCCGTGTATCAACTGTCTGAATGGCATCAGTGTTCAGATTAGACTGAGGAATAACCTCTTTCTTTAAGTATAAAGAAAATATATTTTTTTTCTAGGGGTGAATCTAAGCTAGTTGGTAACTTTGAGCCTCCCAGTGCTGCATCTGGATTCCTCAAATGTTTATTTTTTTTCTTTTAATTTCATTATTATTTCCATAGAGAAATACTACCAGCTTTTGTTGGTGTCTGTCAAACTGTTCTTTTAGCACTGCCTAACTCCATCTGTCCTTGCAGAAATTGTTTCATATTTGGTACCAGAGTTTTTCTCTTAAAATTGCAGTATAACCTACTGCATCTTAATCCAATGCTTTCTCTGCAAGCATTTTCTGATTTGCCGTAGAGATCATCAGTGAGATCTTTCTCTATGATCGCTACATTCATATCCCTCTAGTACTCTGATATTTTCAGGGTTCAAAGGTCTCCTCCTAACTAACTACAGGGAGGCATTAATTTATTCTCATCTCATTTTCTTAGACTGTAAATCTTCAACATAGTGGTGTAACGAGCGTTTGATTTGTTTGTCAACAGTACCAGTTTTGCCACTTCAACTTACTGCTGTGCAACGGCAGGACTATGACACACAGAGACAAATCTGCAGAAATGTCTGGTCAGCTTCCTCAGCACAGAAGCTTAGACACATCTGTGTGCTTCCAAAGTGATTTAATTGGTATTTGGATTTTATTCCTCTTAAATAACACTTAAATTCTCAATCTAACAACCAATATTAGCTGTAGCAATTTTGTGCTTTGTGGGGAAAAAACCAGGGAAGACCATAACCCCACATGACAAATTACTAGTTTAGTCATTTGTGGTTTTATTTTGAAATGTAGAGGGAGGGCAAATAAAGAGGAACATGAAAGACAAATAGCTTCTAACCAGTGGAGAAATCCAGGTCATGATACAGCCTGCATGCATCAGTTTACAGCAGTATGGAATCACACGCAACACTTTTGACCAGGGCTCTGGCTGGTTTTTAAATGGACTTGAATGCTCTATATATTGTTTTCCTGTCCACTACAGCTCTCCAAGGGCAGTATATTCAACAAGGAAGGGTCCCCCTGCTTTACACACACAGGCAACATCCCACACCCAATCAACAAGAACAATTACACTAATGAACTGGTTTCAAACTTTTGATTTACTACTCCTCAATCTTTGCTGCTGTGATCATAGCCCATGTCAGTGGGGCCCAGGGCATTCCAGGCAGCAAAGTTCTGTCTGAAAATGGTGTTCTGTTCAGAGACAATTGTGGGGTATGTCCCTGGACAGGAATGTTTGATGGTGCAGGCTTCCAGCCTTGGACATCCATGTGGTTCACCTGAGATCCCCCCAGACACAAAGTGTAAGACTGCCGGGTTCAATAAGCAGTCCCAGAGTCTGCATAACTTTCAGAATTCAGAAATCACTGGTAGTGGTCTGATGTAGATCAAAGTAAAATTAGAAAAAATTGAAATAGCCCATGAATAAAAACCCACTGCTTTTCAGTCAGCTGTATCCCCAGTGCTTTCACTTTTAGAAGATCATGCACAGTCCAGAAATCCTGGGAAATAATTGTATAGCACAGAGAAAGGAGTATACTGGTTTGGATCTGTGTTTAGCAGAAATAAAGAATACGATACTTAATGGGAAAGGAAGTGCCCCATCAACAGAGCTCAGAGGGATCTCACATGGCGCAGTTTGAGTATGAAGATTGCTACAGGGACTGAAAACTAACCTGATGATTTTAGGACATTATTTTAGGACACAGCAGAACTCTAGTAAGAGTCTGTAGAATCCCCAGAATTGCTTAGCAGGTATGTCAGATGGGGAGCTAGACAAAATACAGAGTATCATCTTCAATAACGTCTTCCTTATGGGGTGATGCTGTTCTTAGTCCAAGTATAGATGTGCTGGAGTAAACAAGTGCAAGGAGCCATTGCTTACAGGAGCCTGGTTCTTGCGCAGCACATGAACTGCTGGAGAGTCTGTGCCTGGTGGTGTTGATGTGAGCCAGTCTAGAGGTGTGCAATAATGTGCCTCTCTGCCTCTATTTATCTTCTGTACAGGCTGGGAGATGTAGCACTGACCATGGCCCTTCTGTATCCCCTGGATTCCTAGGTGTCTCTGGGCCTTCTTATGGCTGAGGGCACTGTCCCGGGGGCAGAAGTGAGTCTCAAATGCAACCATCTTTTCATTGCAGGGGCTACTGACCTGGGAGTTTCGGCAAACACAACTGAGGAAGGAGAAACGGTACGAGGATACCTACAGAAGTTAACTGCAAGAAAGACAGAGAGGTGCGTGTCCAAAGAAGGGCAACAAAGCTGGTGAAGGGTCTAGAGAACAAGTCCTATGAGAAGTGGCTGAGGGAATTGGGATTGTTTAGTTTGGAGATGAGGAGGCTGAGGGGAGACCTTATCGCTCTCTACAGCTACCTGAAAGCAGGTTGTAGCGAGGTGGGGGTCGGTCTCTTTTCCCAAGTATCAAGGGATAGGACAAGAGGAAATAGCCTCAAGTTGCACCAGAGGAGGTTTAGATTGGATATTAGGAAAAATTTCTTTGCCAAAAGAGTTATCAAGCATTGGAACAGGCTGCCCAGGGAAGGGGTTGGGTCACCACCCCGGAGGTATTTAAAAGACATGTAGATGTGGCACTTAGGGACATGGTTTAGAGGTGGACTTGGCAGTGTTAGGTTTACAGTTGGACTCAATGATCTTATAGGTCTTTTCCAACCTAAATGATTCTATGATTAGAAAATATAATGAGCTTAAGGCTGGTTAAATGCTGTTGAGTGCATTTTGAGATAAAATTATGAGATAACAAGTGTCAGGGGGCTATCTGGAGACTGGCAATATGTTTACAATGAAGCAATAATCAAGGATTAAAGTAGACCTGAAACTGAGTAGAAGTTTGCAACAATATCCAAAAATGAGCCTGTAAACACTCTAAGGCAGCAGGCTAGTGACTGAAAACTGTCAGTTGGTCCATCACTGTGGCTGTGGCCACATGTTGCATGCAGTTGTAGGCTTGCTGATAACAGAAATATGTCAACAGTTTGGCAAGATTTCAGAGAACAGGAGGGGGGAAGGTGTTCCCTTTGGAGCTCAGGACTCTCAGGCTGTGACCATGTCACTCTTGGCACCTTCTGTTAGTCTGGGACCTGAGGACCTAAAAAGGACTGAACCAAATTCTTCCTTAAGCTATTTATAGATCAAGAGGTGCAGGTTTGCAGCAGTCAACCAGTTAAGTAGAATGGGAGCAAAACTTGGCTCAAACTCTTTTGCCTAAGTAAGTAATAAATTAATGAGGAGTATCCTACTCTTCATATTTTTGGAAAACAGTAAGGGTAATCCCAGTAAGTATGAGGAAAAGTAGTGGGAAATGGAATGACATAGCAAGTCAAGGTAATTAGAAAACAAGTCCTGCTAGGATGCAGAATAAATCATCCCAGGAGTCCTGTTATTGAAGGACTTGAAAAATAGAAGAGAGAAAAAAATGAGCAATCCTATAGTGACAGAGAATAGGGAACTGTAAATCTCCATCTTTGATTTCTCCATAAGAATTCTCAGAATGAGTCCTTTATTCAAAGAAATTGCCACAACTATTCTGTTCCTACAATAGATTTTTTGCTTGACTATAAAAAATTAAAACCTCAGGCTTTTTTCTCACGGCTCTATATCTAACTTCAAATACAGTTTCTTGGGCTTCAGGGTTTTTTTTCCCTTTTCTAGGAAAAAAAAAGGAAGCCCTCCTTTACCTCTCACTTTCCTCCACCCCTCTCCTCCCACCTGTGTGTAGAATCTGGGTATTTAAACTAGGTATTTAATTGGAATGTTTGTCTGCACGATGTGAGAAATTAAATCCATGAGCTCTGGCAGTCATATGAACTCAGCATTTTTTTTAATGAGAAATTACGTAATCATTTTTAGTCCGAACTGCATCTCTCATTTAAATCTGTTTGTAGTACTTCTTACCATGACTATGCTCATCCTGCATACGTTTATTTTGATTCACAGAAAAACTCATGTCATTAACTAGTTCCCAGCATGGGAACAATGGATTATTCATGCCCTCAAAGCAACTCTTAAAATTGTTTGAACTCAAAGTGAAATGAAACAACTCATAAAGAGAAGACAGTATATAAGTTACCATTTGCAAAGAATTCAGTGCAGTGACTTTGAGCAGTGATCTCGTACGTTAGTTTCATGATTATAAATTGAAAAAAAAAAAGTTAAACACATAAACTTGCTCAGAAGCACAAATAAATTTTTAAATTATTATACAATAAAATAACAAATGTTCAATCAGAATTGTATTTGGCTTAGACTATGGGGAATAGAAAATTCAGATCCAAACTATTTCATGATGTTTTGTGAAGGTTTATGTTAAAATATATCTTCTGAATTGCCCAAGCAACATGTAAACGTATGGTCTCAAAATACCTTTTTAAACAACTTTTCACAGAATATAGCAATATTCTAATTAATTTTCCTTTTCCATCTTCTCTTTACTATCTCATCTATAGTAAACAATTTATAGACGACCTTATTTTGCTTCAATGTTTGAAGTTTAGCATCAGAAAATAATTTCTAGTAAGTGGATGAACTGAGGAATCTCTTCTTGCTGAATGAGCCTGTATCCAGCAGCCATTAGCTGGACATACACAAACAGGAATATCAACCGGTGGTTTTATCATGTGATCTCTTCCACTGAACATACAAATATAGAACATGACCATAAAAAGTAACAGAACATGCTCTCTGTGAAGTAATTTATTGCAGTTGATGCTAGATTGGTATGCCAGCTGGAATTACCTTCTCGGCTCCTACTATTTTCACATATACAGATAACAAAGGCTGTGCACTGCAACAGATTCCAAATGAAAAAATATCAACATTATTACCAAGAAGCAAAACTCCGAAAAAGCAACTTCAGCAAGCTTAACTGTTTGAAAATGTTTGCTAGTGACCCACAGCAGGAGTTGAAGAGCTAAATAAATACCAGGGCTTCAACATTTTCATAGAGGGGAAAAAATACTGCTCTTTGTACAATATACATTTCTCTCTTTGCTGAGCACAAAACAGCCTAAGGATTATTACACATATAGGAGCTTTCTTTTTGTTTGAATTCCTTATTCATTAGTTTGCAAGCTGCAAGAGCTGAGCTAATTTATTTTTCCAGGGCATTTTCCCCTCCCTCTTTTTTTTTTTTTTTTTTAAAGGCACCATGTATGACATCCCAACATGACAGGAACTCAGTAAATCCCCTCAGTCTCCACACCGCTGTCTCTGAATGTCTGCAAAGCTACTATGCCATAATCACAACTCACTGGCTCATTCACAGCTTTACATTATAAAGCAAACAGTCTAGACAGCTGAATGACAGAATTACTCTCTTTTCTCTTGCATTTATAGATATGCTGTCATCTTCATTTGCTTTTCTCTACTCTGTGCATTCTGATACACTAATGATTAGCTTTCCTGTTTGGATTCCACACTGACTCCATGGCTCTAGGCTATAAATACAACCAGAGCCCAGATGACATCACATCAGTAAGGTCCAGAGGGACAGGGGGAAGACCCCTGCTTCTTTCCCTCTCCTGGGGTAGCTGCTGATAACCAGCTTTTTCAGAATGGTTAACCAACATGGCTTTACAATAGGATTTTTTGCCTCATTGAGATGGAGATATAAAAAGCCTAGTGCTTGGAACTGTCACTCTCTGCAGTGGAAAATACCATTCAAATTGCATAGAATAGGCAGCCTTTGATTATTTTCAGGTCTGTCAGTAGTATAGCTGAATGTATCTGTGCAAAAAATATGTGCAAAAAAGAGAAAAAGAATGAAAAACAACATGCATTTGGATGCCTTTAAAAATGTGTACCTAACAGTCTTTATGTTAAAAAAAAAAAAACAAAAAACCAAAAAAAAAACCTTTAAAAAACTTAGAAAAGTTGGGCTGAGTTTGTTCTCACTGAGAAAGGAACTTTAGTCTGTAATATTCCTGGTACTTTAACTTCTGAATGATGTGTACACACATATCATGTGGCATTTCCTTGATGCTAAAAGATAGTTAAATGATAAAAGTATACTTTTTTGCCTTCAACAAGTTGCAGAAACCTATGCAAGCCTGATAATGTGCAACTAAGACATATGGATATATATTGCCAGCTCTGGGGATGCTGATAGCAAGGTTTTCAATATTTGTTTCTTTTCTTAATGCTTCTGTAACTGTCATTCTGGATTGCTGGAGAATATCTTTTTACATCTGTTCTTTTTTTTGCTTATTTGTTTGTTTTGTTGCCTTTTTTTAAATGAAAGTTTCTAAAAGTTACAGCTGAAAATATCTCAAAGCCTTGACTTGAGGTCAGAAAGTTGTGAGGGTAAAAGTGGGGGGAAATGATTGCCATTCTCACTTGAAAAGCAGAGAAAATCATACATCACACCGCTAGCACATCAGCACAGGAGGCCAAACAGTGAGCTATAGCTTTTACTCCTACCAGAGCTGGGACACCACCAGCACTACAGAACACTGCATTATTACACTATGGGCCATCGGAAACTGTTCACTGGGGAATATTTTACCTATGAGCATGAAGAGTTTTGTGGGCCACTGGGTGCGATTGTATTCACAGCCAATATAAATGACTGCTTGAGGCCTGTACCATTGGGAATTTTGCCTGTTCTCTGTGAGTCATGACCCACTTTTACTCTCTGAGATCAGGGGCAGCTGGAAAAACAACTGATCTCTTCTCGCTTGGAACTCTATAAATCTAAAGTCTCACCTGGAATATCTGTACTGTTTTTTTTTTAAACTTCAGTACCCTTGCCATTAAAGCATACTTATTAGAAAAACTTTAAATTTGTTTCTGTAACAACCAAGGTGACAGCAAAATTTCAACTGTTTATACCAGTGGCAGAGGGTTCTGATATGAAAATATGTAGTTTAATGAACTATGGAGCAGGGAGCTAGTGAACAAAGCTGTCTTTCTGAAGGCTTCTGATCTGAAGGCTGTGGAGACACTGTGTAAGTGAAGTCTTCATTCTTTGCACACTCCAAGAAGGGAGGTTCAACCGTGGTCCCACAGAAGGGCTACGTGATTGCTCTTCCCAGGAATGACACGGTGCTATTGGCCAAAATTTTGTGCCTTCCAGAAACTACAAATGAGATTTCATAACAACTCTGCAGCTTCCCTGAGATTTCTAGTTGTGAGGGGAGGATTTAAATAGCTGTCACTAAAATAAGTATATAAATCAACTTGATATACAATGTTTTTTTTTTTTTTCATTTTCTTGACAAAATGCTTTGCGGGCCTTCCAGAATTGGCCTAAGCTGGACCTCAGCTTGTAGCATACTGAGACTAGGGACCAATATTGATTTTTCTCTCAATAGCTTTTTCCCTGACTTCAGAGTTTGTCATATAGGGACTAGTAAAAAGCCATTCTATTCCATGGCATTTCCAGCTTTCCAGAGAAACACTGATCCTGCTTATAGCCATGAGGTGGAAACCTCCTTTGGTTTCTTCAGTGATCTTACATGTATCGGTACAGAGAAGGTTCTTAACTCTGAACCATGGCTTTCTGATTATTACAGTGCCCTGCTAATAACACTGAAAGCAAACCTCTAAGTGCACTGTATAAATAAAATAACAAACAAAAGCAAATGCAGGGGTTGACATTAAGCAAACGCAGGCATTGATATTAAACATATGGGGACACAGCCTTTTTAATACACTGCTGCTTGAAACTCTAGGTCACTTTTCTTACCTCTTGAGGCTCTTGACATTGAGATGCTAACACCAGGAAAGATCTTTGTGCTTGGAAAGCAGCACGTACCATCTCTGCCTGTAACAAAAGGAGGAATATAAATTAAGCCTTAGCCTGTAACCTCCAATACCTCTTCTTGGCAGCTCAAAGTCAAGTGTGACAGCTCGAGTCTTTCTTGCTGCTTCTCATCGAAATCACAGCAACACTGACTGGAAGAAATGCATTATAGTACTGGCATAGGTATACTTTTTTTTTTAAATTCAAGGTTAAGTTTCCTATCTTCTTCAGATAGGAAATAAAATGAGTTGATATGCAGCCTTTTGGTTATCATTTGTAAGATTCGTCTCAGGAGGACTTAATTTTAACACTTCAGAGAATGCTTAGGCTTTTTAATGGCGATGTTTATACTCACGTGCATGATAACAACTTGTTACTGCTCAGAATGGCAACCTGCAAGCTTTCTGTTGATCTGTAATTTGGGCTGTAGTGATGTTTAAGAAGAGTTGAGCTTGGCATATTTGAGGGGGGTGGGACTGAGGGACTATGCTGTAATGAACTCCTTGCCTGTCCTCTGTGAGCAGACCCTGAGAGCGATGGCTATGAGAGATGGTGGCTGAAGGTTTCTTGACAGTTTTGTCTAATGGAACTCTGGGATTTGGCTTAAAGCTGCATCTGATGGCATGCTTACATGCTAACAGAGTGGATGGGAGGTAAATCTACACTCCCTGGTGTTCCCTACTGTTTAAATTTCTGGTCTTTCGGGGTTCTTTTGAACACTACACATTTTCTGTACATTATGAATGATGTACATTGATTAGAATCTAATCGCTATTTCAGTATCACCTATACCTCATTCAAGTGGATGAGCAGTGACTAGGAGAAAGCATTATTGATACAGAAAAGAATTATTCATAACTAGTATATATTGCTAAATAAAAACCAAACCAAATGAAATGCTGTTAGGTTAATCTAATATGAATAGGTACATTTATAATCATTTTGTGAAAGGGTGGGGAAGCTCATGCTGTTTTTCCTTGGGGTTTCTTCAATCTAAAAAGAAAACACGGAAATTTTATATACAGGCCTATGTGGATGCAACTTAAAATACATAAAAGTCAGAAAATTTGAAGTTGTAGCAAAGTAAAACAGCCAAACTGTATTTATTCATCTTAAAATGTGATGGCATGAATAAACTATAATCTGTTAGGATGAAAATCACTGCAAGGAAGATGGTAAAAGAGGCCCAACTTCAACAGTATTTGGGTAGAAGGGTATATTATGATTTGACAGGCTGAGATTTGGAAGAGGGTAATCATCTCTATAAATAGATAAAGAAATAAATAATAAGGGAAACTGTATGAGCATAGGAGACTTAAATTTTCCAGACATAGACATAAATACCATCAATAATAGCAAGGTTTAGATATTCTTAGACATTTCAGAAGACTGACTTTTTGGTACAGAAATTCATAAAACAACAAAGTGTGTGCTATTTTAGGCTTAGGGGTTTTTGTGTGAGGAGGACCTTGCAGAACAGCTGACCAAAAACTAATGTTCTAGGAGGAAATGATTATGAATGGGTTCGGTTCTTCTTAGATTGGAAGATGGACAAAAATAAATCTATAGCTAAGGCTTGGTATTTTAGACTGGCAAAATTTTAGAAAATAGAAAAATCAGTGAATGAAGATGACTGGCCTGAGGAACTTAATGATTTGAATACAGGAAAGGACAGATTTATATTAAGAATGGAAATAACCTCTGTGTGATTAGCAGGAGGGATAAATTGTATGAAGGGTCTAGAGTCTCTGAATGAATAAATAACTAAAACAAGATACTAAGAATAGGTAGTAAACCCTCAGAGAGTAAAAAGATGCCTTGATTATCAAGAACTTTTTTTCAGGCATTATAAAATACAGAAGCAAAGGAATGATGGATACAGGCCTTGTTGAACTGTACCTTGCACAGGAAAGTAAAACAAAGCCATATTTTTTTTTAGCTACTGGAACAATAAAGAAATAAAGCAATCAAGTGAGGCCATGGCAGTGGCCTGGAGGCTAAGATGGGCATGCCTCCATTATTCTTGATGTATAGCTTACCCTGTTGTTGAACAAATGCTCTTCCCAAGTTCCAAGGAAGTCGATGTTCATAAAGATATTGAAAGAATAGCTAAGGAGAATGATGATAAATAAATGGGAATTACATAATTTGAAAGGGAAGTCGAATATATGCAGCTTAGTATGACAATATCATTGGGTCCATATTATCTTTGTTCTAGAGTACTGAGGACACAGGCAGATGGAAGCACAAGTAGAAAAGATTTTAAATATATAGTATTTGGAGGTAGTGCCAGATGACAGAAGCATGCGATGGTGGATTGGGCAAATATGCCCAAGAAGAGGGGAAAACGTATGTTAGGTGATTTCATGGCTATTAGCTTGACTTCAGCCCTGTGCACATTTGGAACGGATTTGAAATGAGCGATTAAAAACACATATGGAAATTAAAAATGGGAGAAATTACAAGGGGATTATCTGTGGTTAAAATAATTACTTTGGGGGATTGTTCAGAGTTTTCAGTTTCTTAGACAAGGATAATGTGTCAGATCTAGTATATTTAGATATTATATAAAATGCTTATTGTGGGTCCTCGTAGGAAACTCATACTTTAAGTGGAAATGATGCAAAGTAGTATAAAAACTCTGAAGTTGGGTAAGAAGCTGGATAAATGGAGACAACAGCAGGGTACATTACAGGTGGTGTTATTTGAGAGGAGGAAAGTTGCTAGTTCTGTTTCTCAAGGATTATTTTTAGGAACCATCTATATGTTTATAAGTGTCCTAACAGCAAGAATTAGGTGTACACACATAAAATTTGTGGGCAACACAAAATTAGGAGGTTTTAAGATTATCAGGACTCACTCACCACTTGAGAAGACAACTTTGTTGGCACAGGTAATATGAATAGGATAAAATTTAGCAGTCCTCCCCCGCCTCTTTAAAACAACAAATAATTTTGAGTGTAAGCACGGAACTGATTAATTGGAAATGCTGAAGACTGGACAATGCAAGTATTAAAGCCAGGAAGGTGGCTTTGTGAAAAGACTTTATGCAGTTCTACAATGGATGTGGCAAAATATTTTTAGTAGAGCTAGAGAAGTGTTAGTACCATTGGAGAGGTCCTCCTCTGGAATTCTGCATAAAGCACTAGTTGTTTGTGTTAAATAAAGATGAGTTTAAATCAGAATTGATGCAGAGAAAACATATTTGGATGTTTAGAGCAATGAGTATCTGTCATACAAAGAATAATTTTAAAAGTTTCACTTGTTCTGCTTAGCAACACAGTGGCTGAGGAATATGATGATTCTTTTGCATAAGAATGTAAATAACAGAGAAGGAAGAAAATGGTAGTGTCAGCACATGATCACAGGTCTGTAAACTGGGTCACGAGTAATCATAGCCTCAAACTTAGAAGATTTCCAACTATCCAAACAGTGAAGTTCAGAAGGGATCTTCCAACTACAAAGAAGCAGCATTATTTTAAGATAGAGCTTTAAATGGTGACCAGATATATCATAAAACATAAGCAAAGTCTCTTATATATACAAAATTAAGATTGTTTTGTCAGTTCTTGAACACCTACTAAGCTGGTAGCATCAATGAGGTTTGAAAAATACATCTGTTTTGAACTTTGTTCACCCCGCATTAAATCCATGCTTTTGGGTTCCCACTGGTTGTTCATGGAGGCTGGGGAGGACTTTTTTCGACATGTGGAGTACAGAGTGACAACTGGTTTCTTGTCTTAGTGACAACTGGTTTCTTGTCTTATTTTTTTACCTCTTTCTGCTGAAGCACTGGAATTTGGTCAGAGCTGGAGACAGACTGTTGGATGATATACACTGATGTTCCTAAAAGACTGACATTCCTTGAGTATGCCTCATACATGTGTCTTACTCATCTGACCAACGTTAAAACTGTTGTTGGATATAGAATCAGGATGTACTTCTCCTCCAGACATGTATTACTCTTTTTTTTTTTGTTTATTACTCCTCCTTCTCCACTGTAGAGTGTGGCCAAGGCCACCTTCTCAAAACATATGGGAGCTGTCTTTAAGAAATCTTCTGCTACTGAGGGCACCCAAGTCATTGGTAACACTCTCTGAGTTACCTGTGATGCATTAAAAGTGTGGCTTTTTGCATTTTCTTATTATCCTAAATTTATTACAGGGTGTTGGAAATGTTCAGTGATCAGTGGACTAGATATCAATTGCAAGGCTTGCGCTGTATGCCCCAAATTTATCCAGCCCCAAAATCTTTTAGTTGTGTACGGATCAGAGCAATTGCATCTCATCTTTGAATTTAAATCTTAAGCAAAGGATCATGCTAACACAGTTTTTGCATTTTACAAGCAGAATTTTATAAGACTTCTGCCACAGCTACTTCCTTCTTTCTCCAACAGCATTAAAAATGGCTTTCTGAGTTTTACTACTTCCGAGCATGTGGCACTTCTTTCCATGCATCCCATCAGGGTAATACAAGAGCTTATTCTCATTAAGAATTCATTAGTTCACTCTATCACAATTCCAGTTCTTCTTTGTAGTCTTTGAAATGTGACACTTCATTGCTTCCTCCTTCTATTTAGCAGGCAGGCTGTGTAACTAAGCAGACATCACTGTTTTTTATAAGGAGGTGACTCATTAGACCCCCATATCCAGTGAAGACTAATGAGTGAAAATGGACCAGCGGGGATTTTTCCTAAGAATTTGTGTGGCTCAGCCAAAAGATTGCCACAGAACAAAGCAGCTGAAACTGTTACAGTTATAATGAATGATAGTAATGAAGCCCGAGTGTCAAAAATGCATGGAAATCATGAGCAAATTTATCAGAGTGAACTAGAACACAAACCTGCACACATCTATCTGCAGATAGAAATGGGCATATTTTGGAGAAACAGGTAATTGACATCTAAAGACTTTGGGCAATCCTTTTGGCATTCTTGGGATTATGCATGGACACAGCAGTCATCAGACAGATTCCTCAGATGAGGTGAATATTCTGAAGGAAGCGAGTTCCTCAGAGCTTTTCCTACTTTGCTTTTTGCAGTTTGTTCTAGAGGCTGGAGGAGACAGCTGTGACTGTGGACCTGACTGCCCGGAGTGTGTGGCATTCCATTCACCACCCCTGTTCCCCCCGTCAGTAAAGTGTGGAATAAGGTGTCTTAATCCTTTGCCTCAGGTGTATTTGACAGCTCACTTAGGTGACTGATATGGTTGGGAGAGCCGAAGTCTGACATGTAGGCAATGTCAGCCCAATTCCATGCCTCTTGAAACCTGTGGCCGCCTACAGTGAGTGACCTCTCTGTTGCCATCGCGGTAACAGCATAGACAAGCCTCTTTACAGTTAAGCCTGCAGAAGTTAATGGAGGAATCATACATATTTAGAAACCAGCTTTTTAATAGCAACTGGTTTAACCTTCTCTGTCAAAATGCAATGCCAACTTTTGATATTTCCCAGAGGCCACTGCTTGAAAAATTGCCAGAGGCTCTGTGAGAGATGTCTAATGGTAACAATGCTTCTGACCTGTTTGAAGTAGTGAGTACGGATTCCACCCAAACTTGCACTGTTTCAGACTGAGTAGACATAGATGCACTGAACCTGAAGTTTAAACTACCAGTTTGCTTTAGCAAAGTTCAGTACTCTAGAGTAGATGTGATTTTAGGATCTCTCTCTTTCTCATTTTAAGTGTTTTATTAAATCTAAGTTATCCAAGGACTAATAAATATAAATGTTATTTGTGTGACAAGAGTTTGGCAAACTACAAGAAGAAAAAGGCACATGCATTCAGATCTCAAGTTACAAGTAAATTCAGTCTTTGGGAAAAAAAACAAAACTAAATAGAAGTAAGAGAAACAAACAAAGGATTTCCTAATGAAATTTAGTCAAGAAAATTACCCTATTGACCCGATAATATTAAATTTGTCAAATGTTATTATATTTAATAACATATTTCCTCAGAGTCATAGGACTAAAAAGCATGATGTAAATATCAGAATCCACAGGACTTCTATTATCACACAGTAATACACATCTGCATATATATACATGCAAACATTAACAGTGATAATTCGTAAATTGAAATACAGATCTATGTACATTTTGGATTTCTACAATATACTCAATGACTTTACTCTGAAACACAACAGTAAAGAGGACATGAGGGGAAAGAATTGGGATTTAGTGGTCCAGAGTTCTAATCACATGTTTCTGCAGAAATAATTTTGGGTCCTCTGGGTTTAGCAAAAGACACAATGACTGACAGCAAATGACAACTACAGATGGAGCCTCACTGTTACAAGCAAAGACCACAGTCTTTCTCTAAAAGGGACAGTACTGCCAGTTGAAGAGAAACAGTTTGTCTTTTACACTGTGCTTTCAAAAGCCTCTTCAAAGTGAAGTGGTGAAGTGGCTGGTGGCTTGAAGGGAGAAGCAAGAAATGGAAAAAGAATGAAGTTTAGATTAAGTATGAGGCTGCCATAGAAACTATCCAGGCCAGCTGAAGAGACAGTATTTATTTTGTACAGCTAATTGGTTGATAGAGATTTTTTAAAAACTGGGCCAAATGCTGAAGAGTCAGTGGCAGTTCTCCAAACAGAGCACTTTATACTGGAAAAGAAAAGAAATTTAAAAACCTGTCACCTTTCTCTTACTGGTCCATGCAGAAAACAGGGTTGAAATTCCAGTCAAAATTGAAGTCAATGGGAGATTTGCCATTGATTTTGATGGAGCCAGACACCACCTCAGATATTTTCTTTTCTATTTTCAGATAGATACATTTGACTACCACCAATCATCTGTCCTCTACTAGTGGGTTTTTTTTTAGTGTTTTTCAGCCTCCATGGCTATGTCTATATTAGGGAATTTTTGCTAAAATTTCTCAGCATTGCTACTGCCTGTCCAGTACCAATCTAAGGTTATATCAGTGCTGGTCTCTCTAGCTGTTTATATCTGCCAGTGTATTAAACACTGTGTCATGTAACTGTGCACAGCACTAGCCAATATTACTTATTTGTTGTTTCAGAGTAGCATCTGTATCTAGGTTCATTAACTTTACTTTTTAGTAAGCTTGACTGCGACTTAAACCACTCAGAGCTCTTACAGCTCTTACCTCTGGTGGAACTCAAACCATATTGGTCTTAAAGATCTTTCAGTGCTAATGACATAAGACAGACGGATAGAATTGTCTGGGGTAAATCATTGCTTATCTATCTGCCATTTTATTTCTCTGTATGAAACACAAACTGTACAGATGTACTGGAGTGAAGGGGTATTTAAAGCCAAAACAGTTGCTTTTATATTAATTACAAAATTATTGCCTTGGATAAGTATATACAGGTTCTGCATTATTTGCATCGATAAAATTTGCGCCAGTGTTCCAGAAGTTCCTCTAAGCTCTTCCAGTTTTAAGTGACATGAACTGTTCTGACTGATCTCAAGGGATTGTTAACTTTAAAACCTAATGAATATTATTTAAATGTAAGCTTCGTTAAATAATTAATTATTAATCTCGGTAGCAGAAGCAGTCAGTTATTTTGTTCATCTGTCACTGTTTCAAACAGATATAAATATTTGGCTGCAGGGCCATTGTGTCTACTGATTACTGCCAAGTGAAGCAGTAGGAGATCATATTCTCTGAAAACATTTCTAATAACCTCTACCCACCAGAGCAGATGAGCAAGTCCAGACCAAAACTCTTGACTGGCGGATGCTCTCCTAAAGCTCAGGCTGATTTTGTGTTTTCCAGATTCACAAATTCTTCACGAATCTCTTTTACAACAGCTAGAAATCTGAAAATCTCTTGACCTCTCTTTTTTTTACTTTTACGTGGAAGTTCCAGAAACAGATGTAGTGTGTTGATAGTTAGGGATTCCAGAAGATTCAGCATAGAAAAATACTGAGCATTGTGTGTAAAAATAAATAGTCCACACATTACTGAAGATGTGGTCTATTTACAGACTAAGGTTCTTTTTTGTTTTCGACACCTTTCTTTTCTGAACAGTTTTGAAGATGTTCAAAAATTCAAGTTTGCCATTTACATTGCAGACTTCTGTCTTCTGCAAGGAGTCAGTCACCTGCTGGAGATTTCAAAGATGCCTCATTGCACAGTATACAGTCCTGGATCTACATCTAAAGGATTTCACATCAGTAGAAGGAAAAGATGCTATTGGCACATTGCAACACCTGATCTTCCAGTCCCTGGTACTTATCTATAGACTGGATGTCCCCAGAATTGTCAGCTGTGTGCAATTAGTGCTGTCATGTTCTGCCTTTATAATATGTAATTTGTGATAATCGTAGAAACAAAAACAAACAGCTGATAAAACCAGCCAAACACTTTAAGAACAAACATCAAAACATCATGAGAACAAATGGCTTCTCTACAGTGCAGAGGATACGTCACTAAAATCTATACTAGGCCACCGCTGTTGGTTGGAGCTTCTGAAAACCAAAGACTGTCATAGTATATTTTATGAGCTTTAGAGTATGAGTAACAGCAAATAGTGATCAGTTGATTTTGGCTGGCATCCAGTTTGTCCCCAGGACTTCTGAGGTGAAAGGCTAATGCTGTAAAAGAATGACAACTCAGAAAAGCATGCAATCATCCAGGGGGGATTAATTTAAATAATGACATTACGGGAATATTCTTTGTATCACATTTCAAAGGTTATGCCATGACAAAGTTGTAATTTTTTTTGAATCAGTATTAGGGAGAGTAGATAGAAAGCACCCAACCTGCTCAGGCATTGATGGAAGTTAGCCACAGTCTTTCTGAGAGAGATTTTATAGCTCTTCATCCTGACTAGACTGCAAAAGCAAGCAGGTTTCTCAAAGAGAGATGGGAAAGGAAAACCAACCCACCTCAGGATTTCATTAAGGATCAGAAACCGTGGTACATTAAAGTTTCACAGACTTCCAAAGCTTCTAATTTCTACTATTACTTGGAGCTATATTGCATATATCTAAAAGTGTGCATTAGTTCCTTAAATAAACAGGAACCACATACAATGTACTGAACAGGTATGTCCAAACTTTGGCTATTATCAAGATCAACCACTTTTTAAATTCAGATTCTTTTTTTTTTTTTTTTTCCCATGGACATCTGAGTTCAGAATTCTTTGGAGGGTGCAGTTGCCTGTGTCAAGGAACTCTTTGCGGAGAGATCTCCTTTCCCTGAGGAAAGGCAAATCTACATTTCCTACATGGAACAGATGCTGTAAACCCACACATCAGACAACCACAGAGATCCCAAGGACCTGCAGGTCTCATTGTCATCTGTACAAATGCGCTTTCACCTGCACTGGTTGCAGGCATTCTGGTTATGTCTCTGATGAGCTGTTGTACCTCTGAGGGCTGCTGCTAAGCAGTCCCACTCCCCATCCCCAGCTGTTCTCTCAGAAGCCCTTCTCACTGAATGTCCAAATCCATGCTGAGGAAATTTCAGAAAAGGCTGTACGATTTCACAGGTTTGGGATGTCATTCACATGTCCCTAATTTAAAAAATACAAGTTCTAGGAACTTCAGATGCTTACATCTGTAAATTAAAAAGGTTACAGTACTTGCTGAGGTATCACTTTGTAAGTATTCTTTCGGCAGTGTTCACTGGTCACCCTACCAGGGAGCTGATTTCTTAACTTTCTGTGTCTGACAAATAACAAATTCCCTGATATAAAGACTGGAGAACCATCCATTTCTAAGCAAACGCACTGTATTTAAAGAGAGCTCGGATAAACAGGTTCTTATATTGAAATGGCTTTGTGTATGTTCTGTGTCTTACACACTTCAGGACAACCGGTGACATTGCCCACCTCATTCTGCAAGTAGTCCCACTGGGGTCCCTGAAGGCAACTCAAAAGCTAAAAGTGCCAGAATCTGTCTCCTTGTAACTTCACTTCCACTTTTTATCACTTTGAAAGAATCCCAGACACCAACCAAAATGTGCTAACATGGAAGGAAGTTCAGAGCTTAAAGCTGACACATCTATAACGATATTTCAGGTTTCTTTCCACCTGAACCATGCTTTCCTTTTCAGGGGGGCTAAATATCAAAAGCCTACATTTACTTGGAGAGGGGTCCTCAGCCTCTCTGAAAGGCAATTATCTACATGCACAGTGATGTGACTGAAAAGCAGATCTGACCTAAGGTGTTTTTTTAAACAGAACATGTATTAAAGCAACAAGAAAGAAGTATTACAGCCTTCAAGATCTAATTCAA